TACAAACGGAAGGGTAGCGGTCTTCAGCGAGGATGATGGCCCATAAGACTCAAGGAGATGAAAGTAAATGGTGGGTCACACGGAGCCGCAGAAAGGGGTAGTACGCAAAGGCGGATCCGCTTCTAGCCAGTGAAATGATGACATAACCCATTGCCTAGTGACGTCCCTGTTAACAAAACAACGTCAAGGCATTGTGCACCCGGAACCTAAACCCACAAGTCACCGAAAAGAGAAAAAAGAGACTACTGGAGTAAGGGTCGAGGTGGAAGAGCCAGAGTGAGGATGTCAGGAGAACCCAAAAAACCGCGGCAAACCATTGCATGGTGGCGAATCGCAGATGACCGAGTAGGAGCGGTGATAAAGGTGAGGGGGCCGGCGCTGGCGGTTCCAGGCATGCTGTCCAGAGATGCACATGGAGGCTTGCGAGTGAACTCCGGTAAACTGTATCAGGATAAAGACGTATACGGGTGAAACAAAGGCTCATAGGGAAAAAAGAAGAAAAGTGACTGGTCGATCCATGAAAGAGATAGACGAAAAGACGTGATCTCTAAGAATGACGAAACGGATAAAAGATGTCCAAGTAATGGGAAAAAATGCTTCTACACACGCGCATCGACAACAATGGCGACCAAGGCACTACAAGAAAACATCACGTATTCCTACAACATATATCATTAGAAAATCATAGAAAACATGATTTTCTTACCAATTTCCTACGAAATATTTTTGTAGTTTCTGTGCCGTCGAAAATCATAAATGGTAAAAAAATGATAGGAAATTTCCTATGAATATCTTGGTTAGGAAACATTCGTAGGAAAATTTGGTTAAAATATCGTAGGACAGCTGCTACTAATTTCCTTCTATTTTCCTACGAAACAGTTCCTACCATTTTCCTACGAATGTTTTCCTATCATATTCCTACCATTTATCTACGAATTATATAAAAATATTTACAATTAAATTAATTCCAAAATTAAATAATTTTAATTATTAAATAAATTTTTAAAAAATTAAATCCAAATTAATAAATTTCCAATTAGTAATTAATTAGAAATCAATTTTAACTAAATTTAGAGGCTTTTATATCCCAAATTGTATTAAAGTATTGTTTTCAATTAGCATCCTATTTATAGAGCAAGTTGAGTGTGAATTTTTCTCTACCTGGTCGATGTGGGACTTTTGCTATTTTTTTTGGGTGATTTTGGTAGGAAATTTGTAGGATATTATATAATAAAATATTTGTTTCAAAGGAAAGTGATAGGTAATTTCCCATATTTTCTGTTTGTAGAAAAATGGTCAGAAATTTCTGACGAATTTCCTACTATTATAACAGTAAAAAATTTCAACCAATTTTCTACCATTTTATAATCAAATTTCCTATGGATATTATTTTGGTATTGTTAAGAAATTTTCAACCATTTTCGGACGATTTTTATCATAGAAAATTTCTTACCAATTTCCTACCACTTTTATTTTTTTGTCATAAATTCGTAGGAAAAGGGTAAAAAATTTTCCTACCAAACTTTTCGTAAAAAAAATTTGTAGGAATTCAGCAGTTTTCTTGTAGTGAGGGACAAATGAAATATCAACGAGGAAGACACCCGGATAATGGAAAGGAAGATAGGCAGGATGTTCGAGAAGTTGCATAGCCGAAGCTCGCTAGAGACCTGACCAGGGAGAAGAAAAATCTAGAACATAGCCATACCCTGGAGAGAGGAGAACGTGTAAGGAGAAGAAAAGGATTTATAAAAAGGTGAAATGACAAAATGGTGAGACGAGACGTTGATGCATAAGTAAAGAGGAAAGCTCAAAGAGGCAGACGAAAATGATATTTCTACAAGACTTTTAATAAAATATTCATTCAAGAAAAAGCTCCTGACTATCATCTCCTCGCCAAGATCTCTTCTCTAGCTCGCTTGAAAGAAACAGGTTACATAATTTGTGGTGTTTACCTTGACAAAGCTACCCCATTTAAGGTTTAGTTTGTCCGTTGATGTCATGTCCCTGGAATGACACCCTTTAACCGGACCACCTTGGGGGCACGCTGCTATGCGGATAGCCTAACCGTCCTCTAGGAACTTCTTTAGAATCATATCATGCAGCCTAGGGCTGGCACCCTCTGCGGATCGATCTGTCAACTTATAGTGAGTTCTATGGTGGACGGCTCTCCCTTAAAAAACCCTATATATTTAAGAGATCGACCATAAAATATTACTAAGCTGGCAGGGCGGCACTTCCCTCTGGGACCAGTCTCACAGTCAGGCATTGTGTCCTTTATATTTCGAGCCCACGATTCCATGTCACTTTGCCCATGGTGGTAGACTCAGGCATTACGTCCTTTCTGGTCCACGATTACAGGTCATTTTACTTACAATGTTTGATTCAGGCAACGCGTCCTGACTATGGGCTCACAGCCCCTAGTCATATTGTCCATGGTCGATGACTCATGCATCATGTCCTTCATCAAAAAGGCGTTACACACTTCAGGTGGGATGTCTAGTCAGGTACGGCTAATGAGGAGGAAAATCGTTTATCTCTGACAAAGATAATTTCCACTCCGCGGATTAGTGTTGATAATCCGCGTAGTGGAGGGCAAATTGTTGGGGATAAATTCAGTTTTTCTTATGTGGATAAATTCAATCTTTCCTACGTGGACAAATCACGTGTTTGCACGTGACGTCCATGGGTTTTTTTGCAGGTATGGCCACTTGGGTCAAATTAGGTTTCGTATTGGACTTACGGCCCAATGCAACCTAAGCATATAGTAGCGGACCTTCGGATTCGAGAGATCCAATACGAAAGGCCACCTATTCCTGGGTTCATCGTACCTGATAGCGTAAGCCACACTGTCAGGGACAAGGAAGTTAGAAACTGAGTGTTCAGGGAGAGGAGATGTTGCTTTTTTATATCCTAGACCTAAGCTCAGTGATCTAGAAGAGTCATGATATAGAGAAAAGTAACCCACACAGATACCAGGAGAGAGAAATCAGCCAAACAATCTCGACAGCCTGGTCCTAGTATCAAAGGATCCAGGCCAGGTATGATTACTTTCGTGAGCGGGAAACATTGTTCAAAATTTCTCTCCATTCAAAAATTGGAATATGAGTTTGACTGATTCGATTGCCCATGTATTTGTAAATCCAGAAGATTGGCATTTAATGCTCAATGTTTACACATGTCAGGTGATAGTGACCACTCGTGGAAGGCAGAGAAAGGCAAAGACTCAGCAAAGGCTATACCGCGTCTGAAACGCTGAACCCAATCCATACACTAAGGGTGAAAATGACGCGCCAAGGAACAGTCTCGTAGCAGGGGGAAGACGCCAAGAAAAGTTGGTGAGACCATCAGAAGTGTGATACTATTAGCAAGATTCAGATCCAATCAAGCTGGATCCCATACCGACTGGTGAAACAGACAACCTAAGGTTCGACCCGTATACTAATATGTGTCAGGTAAAACTCCATAAATACTTAGCTTATTCCAACGTGAAAGACGTTCAATCCTTTTGCTATCTTTGAGTTCATGCTATCTCTCTAGATACTCGTGACTTACAAGGTTTAGCACTCTCACTTTCCGATCTTCATTCCGATCACTTTCTCATTTCCACTCCACGACGGTTCCTAAACCGTGAAGCATTTTCACCCACAAACTCTTGCACTTCTTCATGGCCCGAGCAAACTCACTATTATTCCCTAAGAGCTCTCAGTCCGCTTTCCTTTCTGCTTTTCAATCTCATTTTCATCCTTATGATTTGTCACTTTGTGGTCTTTTCATAAATCGTTTTCTGATTTCAGTGTCGGAGAGCTATTGGAAAATAATCTTCCATTGTATTTTTTGAACTTTCACGTCTTTTTTTGTTTTTTTTTTGTTTTGTAAGAGATTTGCTCCCAAAAGAACCAATAATCTCTTAAACATATATATATATATATATTAAACATGTTTAGATTATTATATCTAATTATAACTTATAATTATTATTTTTATTAGTTGATAATTATAAAATAAATTATTATTAAAAATTATTTGGAAACATGAATTTTATTTTGAAAATTAGATCCAAAATAAATATGTTTTTTCAAATTTGAAATTCTCAAAATTAATGATGGTTTATCTTTTACCTAAAAACAATGTTAGCTTTCAAAATTTTTAAAACAGGATTTCGTTTTCAGAATATGTAAAATTTTTAAAATATTAAATCAAATTTCCTCTTTGAAATTTATGCATGTAATTTTCACAAATGGTTCATTTAAAGTTTTTTAATATAACATCTTTTGAAAACAAAATTTAGAAAATCATGAACTAAAACAATATTTTCTACATAAAATATCAATTGATCAATTAATTAATATTTCAATAAATTATGAATATTCCAAATATTATTAATTTATAGGAATTGTACTATATTTATTACATTTATAATCCTATAGTCTATTGACCATTTTTTTTTCAAACCTCCCCATATGCGTTCGAACAAGTCATAGTCTAGTTGATATTATTTAAGTTATACATTCCTGATCAAAATTTGGGAGTACAAAAATGGCAAATTTTCCGAAAATAACTTAGAGAATTTAGGCTAAAATTACTATCATCGATTAATTAGATTTTGATTTGATTCGGTCATATCTCTAGAACTTTAACATGTGTTTAATTTATTGTTAATTAAATATGTTCAAACATAAATAGAGAAAGCGAGAGTAGATAATTATATAATTAATAGATAATTAATTTTTCCTTCGATTGCTTGTTTGGATTCCAAGAAAATTAATCTCAGGTGCGGGAATGTGACTAGAACGCTAACATACACGGAAAGGGAGAGAGAGAGGTGTATAAATCTCCTTGCTTATCTCCCCTAGATTCGCTCTTTGATCTCCATTTTATAAGTGTCTCTTATTCCGATTTATGCAGATCTTCTCGGAAAAACTCAGATTTTTTCCTTTCGTTATTTACTTATATTTTATCTTTATTATAATTATTATTTAAACGGGTTCGTTCCTATTTTCTTGTTGATTCCATCTCTCTCTCTCTTCACTCTCGCATTCTCGAAATGCAATTTCTCGCTTGTTTCTATGATTAACTCTTTTTCGGTTTTTTCTCTTCTTAATCGATTGTGGTTAGGGTTCTAAAAAATCTCCATTTGCGTCCTTAATTTTACTTTTCTAGCTTCTCCAGTTCTTATTTCTTATTTCTTTTTCTTCGGTTATTTCAATTGACTAGGAGCTCTTCGATTCTCCGATTTCTATAGAATTACTGATAAATCCTTCTGCAATCACTAGGGTTTTTGTTTTCGGTGGGTTTTTTTTTTTTGGCAGCTGAAAATTTTGCTATTGGAATTTTCGAGATTCAGTAAGGTACACGAGTTATTGGTTATTTAATTCCATGTTATACTGAGTATCTAAGAGTCGTTTCGCATTTAATTGAAATCTTATGAGCGATTTAAACTTATGAACTGTATAGTGACTGAAGAACACTAATCTTTGAATCTGATGTAACGACTTTACTGGATTGCGGAAGTATTTAGCTAGATTTTGCAGAATGTTTACATATGAGCTATAATTTGATGAAACTATAGTGACTGAAGAACACTCTTCTTGAATTTGCCGTTTCTACTTTTCTGGATTGAGTTTTTGAATGTTTTTGTTTACAGAAACAATCAGAGAGGAGGAAGTGTTAGAATGGTAGATGAAACACACACAAGATGCGTAACGTTCGCCATGATTCTGGATCAGGCGAAGATTTTGCAATAGAGAAAAATTTTCACAAAGGCCCTTGGACATCAGCAGAAGACCAGCTACTGATAGCTTATGTTGATAAACATGGTGATGGTAATTGGAACGCTGTTCAGAAACACTCTGGCCTTTCTCGGTGTGGTAAAAGCTGCCGTCTTCGTTGGGTGAATCACCTGAGACCTGATTTGAAAAAGGGAGCTTTTACGGAGAAGGAAGAGCAGCGTGTTATCGAGCTTCATGCTTCAATGGGTAACAAATGGGCAAGAATGGCTGCAGAAGTATGTTAAACTCTGTTTCTTGTTTTTGTTTTCTTGTCTTCTTACGGTATGTTCTAATCTTGTTTTCTTTTTTTCAGCTACCGGGTCGAACGGATAACGAGATTAAGAATTTCTGGAACACGAGGCTTAAGAGACTGCAACGACTTGGCTTACCTATTTACCCTGATGAAGTTCGAGAGCAAGCTATGAATACAGCAGCTCACAATGGTCAAAACACTGATTCATTGGATGCTCATCATAGTCAAGAATCATTGGAGCCAGACAGTCTCGAGATCCCTGAAGTGGATTTCAAGTACTTACAACTCAATAACTGCTCCTCGTACTACCAGTCAATGCTTCGCAATGTTCCCACGGGTAACTTGATGAGACAGAGACCATGTTTCTTTCAGCCTAATATGTACAACTTGACTGGATCTATGTACATGCCAAACCGCAAACGCTTTAGGGAACCGGAAACCGCAATTCCTTTCGTGGGTTGTTACGCCACGAACGAGCAAAGTGGTCAGCTCTGGAACTATCCTCTCGGAGATAGCAATCCGGAACAGTTCAGCGTTTTACCAGATAGCCATTTGCTTGGCAATGCTACATATTCTTCTCCTTCTGGGCCTCTCATTCACGAGGCCGAGAAGTTGGAGCTCCCTTCATTCCAATGTTTTGAACCTCAAGAAGAGCCTGGCGATTGGATAACACAAGAGACTAACCCAATGCCAGAACTTGATTCAGACAATGCTTTGGTCCAGTCCCCTCTGACAGATCAGACACCATCAGATTGTCCATCATCATTCTGTGATGGATTGTTGGAATCGGTTGTCTATGGATCACCAGGGGAACGACAGGCAACAAATACTGATTCAGATTCTCCGCTGATTCAGTCCTCTCTACTTGATCATACTGAGTTTACACCAGCGACTGCAAACACAATAGGTTAAAACTTTCTACTCTTTAGACATTACAAGTCACTTCTTCACGTATTCAAGTCTCTGAAAAGACCTCCACATTCTTGCAGGACACAACTCCAGTTTTGAACAAGATTTGGGTCATTTTGGTCCAACATCCTCAAGTGAGAGACGCGCATCCTTTGAAAGCGGCGATTGGATAAGACAACTTCTTGGCGAGGATAGGGATCACTACACAAAGTAGACGAGGATTCTATCGATTGCATGACGCATAGAGGGCTCTCTCCCCCTCTTGTCTGATCTCTGACTTACTCTGAGTAGATTAGTCATGTCTTTAAGTATATCAGTACTGTGGCTACCAAAAATAGTGAGCGATTAGCTTTTTTCCTGCGGTTTACAAGGACAGTAGTATCGATTTGATACGTAGGGGTTCTAATGATTTTAAGCAAGCGGTTTGATGATAATCCAATAGAATTTTCCTAGCTTCATACATTGGCGGATCTTTTTTTATATATATTAAATTAGAGAACCCAACGATGGATACATCCCATGTTCAAAAATGTGTGTAACGACTGATCATTGATCAGGGATAACAGAAAGATTACTTGGGGAATGATTTTTCGTAATTTTATCTACAAATGTGTATATAGATGAAATATGTGCAATAAGATAATGAATATAGCTGGTCTAGATTTAACATCCAAGAGGACACCTCGAAGTTCATTTGTGCTTGCCTTAACGGAGGAGGCCAATTAGAGTGGCCGAATCCGAGAAGAAATTTGCAAACCTGAAGCCAGCCAAAAGAGTCGCTTGAACCGCTTTTCTGCCAGAGCTTTCGCAAGTAAAGCCGAAACAACTATCCTTTTTTATGACCAAAGAAAAAATGAGCACTTTCCAACATAAGACACCATCCCTTACCGCAGTCTAACTAGACACCAACCAAGCCGCATCAACAAAGCATGATTGGGGGGGGGGGGGGGGGTGAGATGGCCTTCCTCGGGAGAAGGTCTTGAGCCTCCTGCTAAGCCTTTGCTTATGCCATGGTTTTAAGAAGAATCTCCTGTGTTGAGAGGGATTGGATTTCAAAAAGGAGGAGGTTCATGGCTTTCCAAATAAACCAGAAAAGTCACAGGTAAAAAGGGTAGTCATCAGTCCTATAGGAAAAAAGTTGACCATGTGTCGAGTCCTACCGAGTAATTGCATCGTGTAGAAGGAAGTTAGCATTTGGTAAGAATAGGATAAGGGCAAGGTTCCAAACCTCCAGAGCAAACGGGTAGAGGAAGAGGATGTGGATCTCATCTTCACTGCGTCTTCTGCATAGACGAGAGACGTCCATTCCACGGATGACAAATTTTTTTCCAACAGGCAAGATGTGAGAGAGTTATTTCTATAGATATTTAATTTTTGGGCTGGTGTGAATGTTCCTGATTTTCGCGACCCAGTCAAAGTCCCCATCATTCCTAGCTGGCACCACAGCTGCTCTGGCCAAGCGGGAGCTTGTTTTGGTCGTATATTGACCTTTCTTATCATGCAGCCATACCAGTGCGTCTTCACATACGGATTTAGGAGGGATTAGCTTGGTAACATGGTCCTTATACTGAGGTAAGATGTGTCGAATAGCCTCAACATTCCATTCTTTAGAAATGGGATACAGGAGGGAAAAGACGGTGTCTTGTGAATGCCATTTTATGGGAGGACCAACAAGCGATAATGGAAAAGACGTGAAACACCACAGCTGACTCCAAATGCTGATGTTGGATCCATCTCCAACAAGCCATCCAAGTCCTCTCCTCAAGATGTCTTTACTTACCACAATATATCACCAGTCATGGGACATAGAGTTAAATGACTTATATTCCAAGAATGAGGAGGAGGTATAGTGCTTGCATAATAGGACTTGAGCCAAGAGGCATGAGGGCTGGGAGTAAATTCTCTAACTTAGCTTAGTAAGCCAAGAGTCACTGAAAGCTTCTATATCCTTAAAGCTTAATCCTCCAGCAATCTTAGGAAGGGTAAGCTTACTCCATGCTACCCAAGAGATATTTCTTTGGTCAGGCTTGTTGTCTCACCAAAATCGAGTAAGCACCAACTAAATTTTTTTGTAGAGTAAGAGAGAGATCTTGAAGCATGACATGGCATAGTTTGGCATGGCCAAGAGAACTGTTTGAAGTATCACTTGTTTGTCGGCACTGGAAAGGAAGTGTGAGGACCAACTGTGAGCTTTTTGCCTAATCTTATCCCCCATCGAGGTAAAGATATCTCTCTTCCCACGGTCAAAGTTCTCTGGGAGCCCAAAATATTTTACAACCCCACCCTCAAGAGAGAAATGAAGAGCAGCTTTCAGTCGGTCTTTGGCTTTAGGACATTTTTTTTGCTGAAAAGGTGACAACATATTTACGAACATATATACACTAACCAGAGGAGTCTTCATATCGCTTGAGAATGAAGCCAAGAGTATTTCAGGCTGCGTACTAAACTTGCAGAAGAAAATAGTGTATTCTGCGGAAAATAGGTGATTAATTGGGACTCCATCCCTTGAAACTTTGACCCCAAAAAAGTGTCATTATCTTGCGTGATCCTGCACATGTCCGAAAGAATCTCTATGCACAAAGTGAATAAGTAGGGTGACAAAGGGTCTCCCTGTCGGAGTCCTCGAGATGGAAAGACCTTGCCTTGCGGGATTCTATTAATCAAGAACGAATAAGACACCGACTGGACACAAAACATGATCCATTGGATCTACCTTGTATGGAAGCCTAGTCTGTGAAGGACCGCCTGTAAGAAGCCCCATTCAATGCGATCGTAGGCATTGCTCATGTCTGTCTTTCAGCCATGAAGCACCGTTTCTTAGCTCCTGAGGACTTCAAGTAATGAAGGATCTCGTGTGGGATGAACACATTATCGACTATGGCTTTGCCTGGTACAAAAGCTGACTGATGCAGAGAGATCAGGTTGGGGAGTAAGGATTGGAGTTTTCCGGTGAGAATCTTCGCAAAAATCTTTCAATACACATTACAGAGTGCTATGGGGTGGTAGTCAGATACTCTACTAGGTCACGAGCCTTTAAGGATAAGGCATACATGAGTGTCATTTTGTCTCAGCGACTTTGTGCTGGAAAAAAAAACTTTGGATATCCTTGGTGATATCTGGACCCATGATATCCCAAAAAGCCTGGTAGAATTAGCTAAGAAGCCATCCAAACCTGGTGCTTTGTCTGAGTGAATAGAAAACAAGGCTTGGCAAACTTCCGCACACGAAAGTAAAGAGATATGGTCCTCATTAGAGGTAGTGATTTTTGGCTGCAGAACATCATTAACCACTTCAAATTAAGATAGTGGTTCCATTAGAAGAGAAGATAGAAAAATATAGCTCCGAGAAAGAATAGGCAATGTGGCTCTCTTCATTGAACGTTGTGCCATTATCATCCTTAATTACTGAGAGTTTATTCACCGATCTTCTCCTACGGGTAATTGCATAAAAAAATCCAGTGTTTCTGTCACCACCTTGTAACTATTGTATTCTTGACCATGGTCTCCAGAGGAGTTCTTGCTCTTTAAAGACCTTTTCGAGTTTTGATGTGAGGGAGGAGATCAAGGATTAATTAGGGGTTGATTTGGTGAGAGCCGTCTCAAGAGCCTTTTGGTACTCTTTTAGGAGCTTTGCACTATTGCCATTCTTCTCCTTAGTCCATTTGATATTTGCACAATGGCAGCAGTTAATTTTCCCCACCACCGTCTTGTTACGATAGCGATTCCATACCTCTTCAACAATGGGACAAGTGCCTTCATCAGCAAGAAATCGGCAATCAAAACAAAAGACTCCCCATTTCTTCTTCCGCTTTTTGTTCGTGTAAGTAACCACCGGTCGGTGATTACTACATTCAAAGCTGAGATATTCACAAAAAGCCATGGGGAAGAGTTCATCCCACGAGCAATTAGCAAGAGATCTATCTAAATGAGAGTGGATAAAGTAGATGTAACGGTTCCTTCTCCAGGAGAAAAGGTTACCAACATGTTTTATATCCGAAATACCAAATTGAGTTACAAAAGATCGAAATGGAATGAAAGAGCTTTCACATCGAGGTGGTATACTATACCCTTCTTTTTCTCATTTGAAAAATGTCATTAAAGTGTCCTGTCAAGAGCCAAGCTGGGTCCCTTTCCGCTCCTCGCTCTGCAAGCTGTCCCAAATGGCTGGTCTATTGTCATGTTGAGGTGCTACATAGATAAATGTAATATGGGAGGTAGTAGAAGTATGCTTCACCTTTAATATTCTATATATATATTTGAACTGCTGTTAGTCAGAAAATAATTTTAAATATTCAATAATAAATAAATAAAATTGCCATAAGCCCAATAACTTAACTCGAGAATCCAAAACAGTAGTTTCTTCGACTTCCTATTGCTTATCTCGATATCTTGTCGCAAACCTCAGAGAACGAACTTTTTTTCTTGATTTGATTTGAGATGGGTGATTCCTACATTTCTCCCAACCTCGATCTATCCGATAACTGTGGTCCGTTTAAACCTCAAAAGAAAGATGCCATCAAATTCTGACCTGATGAAGAGGGATTTCCTCGGACATGGTTCGTCACTGTTATGGGAGAAGACTTTGACATCAGAAAATGAAAACTCCGAGTGACCCATGATGCAAACCGCATCATCAGCGACGATGGTTCCACTCCTCTTACTGAAGAGAGAGAGAGAGAGAGAGAGAGAGAGAGAGAGAGAGAGAGAGAGAGAGAGAGAGAGAGAGAGAGAGAGAGAGAGAGAGAGAGAGAGAGAGAGAGAGAGAGAGAGAGCATATACCCACCTCTGCTGGTAACAAGATTCACTTTGAATGAGTTCACACGAGGATCCACTGTTGAAGTTTTACAAAGAGAACTCTGGTGTGAAGGCACTGTGTCAGGAAAGTAAAAAGCTCATATCTGGTGTTGTTGTTGTCTCCGCTTGATATTATCATGTTCCCCCCAAGAAAAGTCAAACAATGATCGCAGTGGAGCATGGATTATAATAAATGGTCAATTCAACCTAAATTGGTAAGTGATGTATTTTGATTTTCTCTTTTTTTTTTTGGATTTTTTTTTTGTGGATTTTTGGTTCGTAATCTTCCTTATTGACTATGAGATATTGAGTATAGTAGTTAAAAGCAAAATCTTAAAACGGCGATTAGAAAAAACCGGTCATTATGTGCTGGAACTATAATAATCCTCGCCAATTCTTTGACAAATCTGTTGATCGCATTTCATTGAATGAAAACTCTGAACCACAAATGGTGCATGTTCTCGAGAGCAATATCAGGAAGATTTTTTGGGAAAGTGATGTGCTCAGGTTTTAACCCTAGTTTTCTGCATGCACACAGAGGTACGTTATAGTATTTAGAGGTCAATCCACTGAAGACCAAGTAATTGTAATATGAATTTACTTGCGATGAGAACAGAGGTAAGATGAAAATATGAGTGTTCGTTTGGGGGT